CCTCAGCCCCACCCCGGAACCACATTCCCGTCAAATTATCCTGGTCCGCGGATATCACAAATTTTCTTCAACTGGGTCACGAGAAAAAAAAAGTTTGAAAACCGCCGTCCTTGCTGGTATAGGCCTGCAGAGCCCCATGGATGCCAATGCCAGAGCAATTCAAGCCAGCAGAGGCTCTGGCCTGAGTGGCGGTGGTGGGCCTTTTAAGAAGTTGAAGAAAAGCAACTCGCTCTAGGAAAAAGTGCCGAACGCAGCTCTTCAGCCTGCTTAGCTGTTTCTTTCCAGCTGGATTGCTCTCTAATGTGGAGCATTAATTGGAAAATAACAGCATTCCATCCTCGTAGAAAATCAATATGCCTTCTCCTCCCCTCCCCTGACAAGGGGAATCCATTACAAGGGTGTTTCTGGACATGCCAATGAGTGTGACTCTTAACCGCTCCACTTCAACCCTCATAATCAGTAGGAGAGGTGTCAAAACTCTTACTCTTCACGTTCGGGTGGCCTTCCAGGCCGGCAGCTGCTTCCAGATCTACTGGCCCATAAAGGAAAATGGGTAAAGATCATTGTATATTTCTGAACTGACACAGGCTGGCAGATCAATTGAGCCATCAGGCAGGGTGTTGGGTCACCAGGCTCACAACCACAGGGACAGTTTTGCAATGTCGCCCCCATAAGTGGATGTCACTACAAACTTGCCAGCTCTAAGAAGTCAGATGAGGGAACAAAGGTAAGAAAAGAGGGTTACACAAACTGGGAATACGAGCAAATGGCCACACGTTTTACAGGAGACTCCACGGTATACAGGCAATAATTCTAGTCACCGAGCATCGCACAGTCCTGCTCAAATCCCCACCGGATCTAATTAAGTGTGTGGCCCGCCAACCAATCACAAATAATTGTGCTGGCTGCTCCATTGTATAGAGTATACTGTAATAAAGGGCAAAAGTTTTGCAGAGTTATGACCTACCCGCTAGAAAAAGATACGATCTTTCAGCGAGGTTTTATTTTTTGCTTGCTCTTGGAAGCTGCAAAGGAGCAAAGGAGATAAGAAAGTACGATAGCTGGTTGGCAGTAGTGTGCAGTGGCACAGATGTTCTGGGGAGGCAGAATGTCCCATGCGTGTCAAGACTTTCTGCAGAAAAACTGTGAGGATTTGAAATCCTGATAAGGGAAAATGTAAATGAGTCCACAGACTGCTTTCCAGATTGAGTCTGGAAAGCAGCTCTTCCTATGCTGAAAGGACTGGAGTTATTTTCTAAAGCAGTGGCTGCTATAGGAAAGTTCACATTTGCTGTGAGTCAGCTAAAGGGGATACCCAAGATGTTGCATTCTTCTCTCTACATAGACTAGAGAAACGGTCGTATCTCAGGATAGCACTGTCAGGCTCTGTCTACACTGCAGGCTTCTTGCATAAGAAGCTTTTTGTGGAAGAGATCTTCAGCAAAAACGTCTTGCGCAGGAGCACGTCTACATTGCAAAAGCCCATCGAAAAAGCGATGTGTTTTGGCACAAGAGAGCATCCAGGCTGCATGGATGCACTCTTGAAAGGAAACTTTGATTGCTATTTACAGAATGGCCACCAAGGCACCTGGGCTTTTTTCGATTGCCCCTTTTTATGCGAAACCCCCCCTATGCCCTGTCCACACATGCCTTTTTACACAAGAGCTCTTGGTGTGGGGGACGACGTCGCGCACCGGGGGGAAGAACTAGACTGGCGAAGAGGAGGAAGCGGCCCAGGATGGGGGCTGGAGACGGCGGTGCCGCCTCCACCTTGTAACCCGCCGGAGGGTTGGTGAGTTACGGGGGAATCACCACCAACCAGGCAGAGCTAGTTCATTGCTGCCTTGAGGATCCTGGGTCGGGACCCGGAGCGGGGGTGGGCCTGAGTCCCCCTCCTTCCTCACGCAGGATTGTGCATATCCAAGACTCTGTGGACTTCCCATCGAGCCACGAACTCTACGTTCTAGTTGGACTAGTAAGGGAAACGCGGGTGGGAGAAAGGTGCACGGGTGGACAACCCCAAGGATGTAAGCCTGATGGGGAGACCAACCCGTGACATTCCTTTTTGATTGGTAGATCATTCAAGAACTCCTGGTTAAGCCAGGAGGGGTCTCCTGCCATACTTTCTGCCTTTTGCTATTATTTTCACAATCTGCATTGCATTTTGGGAAGGACCTTATGCAAAGCCCATTGTAGTCTATGGGCCCTAGAAGAGATGAAATTTAAAATTTTATCTAAACTGGGAAGATTACTTAATCTTGAAACAGGAGCTTTAGGAGTCCTGTTAACTTACAGAATGTTAATAATGACTTTGAACTAAGTACATCCAAGTGCACGTTTTATTTAATAACCTGGGAGTCAACACATGTTCTAATAAAATTCAATTTCCAAGCATAGAGAAAGCCTCCACTTGGATCTGGACTTGAATAACCATTTACAGATCCAAGGGGTAAAATGTTACTCATCTAGCAACTGTATGACTTTTATTAGGAGATCATTAAAAAATGTTCAGTTTGGATATTGCCAAAATTTGGGAAGTGAAAGCAGGGTACAAGAAAACCACAAACCAAATTATTTCAGATGTAATGAAACTGTATCCAAGTAATCGCTTAAGTTGATATATTAGAATCCATAGACTCAATAGGGACTACAAGTGTCATCTGACATATTTGCAGTACATTGTTTGTCAATTCCTTGGGGGGAAGGGGGGCAAATTTTGGATTACCAGCCATTCAGAAAAAACAGGATGCTACTTTGAGCGGCAATTGCATGAAGGGGACATGCTATGCATTTGGATAAGTAGGGTTTTGGGGTAAAAGATATTTGGGTAACTAGAATTATACTGCATATCATATGTAACAATGTAAATGCGGAAATTATTGGTGAAATCCTGGCCCCAGTGAAATGAATGAGAGGTTTTTTCCTCTCATTAATTAATTGTCACCAAGATTTCATCCTAAATATACAGCGTGTGGGGAGAGAGAATGCTAGCTTGGAGTGATATAAAAGTTTGCATTTGGGATAACTGCATTAGTTCTGAATTCCTTTCACCTTCTGTGCTATTTGTTTGCTTTTTGCGTACATCTCTTACCAGTTTCTTGTCAGTTTCACTTAATAGATCTTGCACATTAAATGAAGGCTTTGGGGTGCCATAATTGTGTAGGCTGTTTTTTTTAAAAAAAAAAACGGATTCAAAGAAGAATGTCAAGATGATCCCAAGCTTTCCATTTCAACATGAATACAATGGGACGTGAAATATTGCTGGGAGTAAAATAAAGCTTTTGTGCCACTAGTGCTTTGCATGGGCTCCAAATCAGCCTTTTTTCTCACCCTTTTCTTCCTGCTATACTTCTTACTACTTAGGATACAACAGCAGAGTGAAACAGATTATTTTATGATTCACCTGCCTCATTGTTTGTCCATGTATGAGTTTGATCCAAAAATAAAGAATACTTAGTAATCCCAGGCTCACGTCCTCAGTCAGCCGCAGGTTTCTCATCTTCCTCCCTGTTCCTCGCTCTCAATCAAAAGGGAATAAAAAGTTTTTGCCTTTTCTTTTGAGCAGCATCTTTATTTTGCACCTAGAACTTGCAGTCGGTGCCCACTCTGGGCAGTGAGAAATTCAATGGAAACATAGGGGAGAAAAAAATAGAATCTGTAATGATGACAAACTGCAAATAGCAACGCTAGGCCATTAAATTTTTAATCTTTTTTTCTCTATCATTATTCTCTTCCCTCTATTAAATTCTTCCAGAGTCAAGTGAAGAGCTAAAGGTGACAGTGATAGACATGAATGTTTATTGTCTTGTCAATACAAATAAACCCAGAGCTGATAAGTCAGGCTATTTCTTCAAGGCTGACTAAAATGCAGTGATCTCTGAATAAAATAAAATAAAATAAAATAAAATAAAATAGAAATCAGGATATGTATTCTAGGTTCTGTGGAAGATGTAAATGACACAAGTAGCCTGACTGTAGAAAGTGGCTTGAATGATATTTAGTATTCCCAGAAAGCTATTGCCTACTTGTGACTTGCACGTTTCAAAATGCAGATTGGCTGGGTTGTGATGGAAGAACTCGATTCTGCCACGACCCCATGGCCCTTGTAAGAGATGGGAAAGGCGATGGAGTCTAGAATGGAAAGAACCAAAATGAAATGGCAAAACCTTGCTGGAGAGTACCAAGCAACGGGGGAAGGAATGTGGTCGGATGAAAATGATGGATCTTACCTCTGCAAACAAAACCAGGAATGGGTTTGGGAAGGGCCTGTCTGATGCAGAGCCGAGGTCTGTGGGGAGTCAGTTTTAGAGCAGGCAAACTCCAGAACAATGACTAAACCTTTGGAGAAAGCAGGTTTGAACACTTGCCAAGGAAAGCCAATACTAGAAGGTACAGTAGGCAGGGCACTGGCCTTGATTTAGGCAAGCTATGTCTTCATCCCACATCTGCCCCGGCCTGCTGCATGACTGTAGGCAAATTCATTCCTCACTTTGTGCCTGTCTCTTCCTACTTTTTATCTCTCTCGTTTACATTGTAAGTGCCTCGTGTCGGGTCCTGTCTTACTAGGTATATGTGCAACATCAAGTACAATGTACTGCTCCAGCCCAAATAAAAGCCCGGTTGGTGGTTTTCAATGTTTCCTATATTGCTAAGAACTATAAATGGAGAA